TTTTTTATTTATTTATTTAATTTTTTGGTCGCCTTCGTTTTGAAGTGGGTACTCTTCTCTGAGCCAGTCGAGTGCGAAGATGACTAACTGCCCAGCTAATGTGATACATTTCAGCCTTGTGCTTTTTGTGCACACCAGCTACTAGAGGGTCAGCTGTGGTCAGTGCATTTGTGAACTCTAATGTGCCAGAWTGGCCCATTAAGCCCTGGTGGCTTAATGCTTTAGGAGCATTAATAAAGAGGGCTGACAGTTTCGCTTGCAGGCGGACTTGGTTCACAATGAAGAGAAGAAAAGGCTTTGGTCTGAGTGATCAGCACTCGTGATCACTTTGGTTTGTAAAAGCAGGCTGACTGAACTGCGCCTTCAGTTGAGAATATATTTAAATACTAAATTATCTGAAAAGCTTGGTAACATGTCAAGTAAAATTAAATCTTGTTTTGTTATATTAAAAAACTTTGACCTGTACTCTTTAGTAGGAGATCATTTGAAAWGCCGTCTCACACTGAAATAGCTCCAAGTCAATAGTTTTGACAGCCGACTGTTATTTTGGACTGAAGAGGCGTTTGAAACATGACAGCGTCGTGTTTGGGGATAAATTTGAGCATACKTTTTATTTTGTCTTCTAAAGAATACTATTAAAAAGAAAGCATTTGTGATGTGATCACCTCTTCAGTTCATGTGTCTCACCCTGTTCCAACAGGAAGTTTTGAGTCACCTGCAGGTTCTAATGATGAGCTTCAAACACTGTGAAAAGTACGTTTCCATGAAGTTTTCAGTTCACTCAGTCGTTCGTAACTTGTGAACTGCTGAATTTGAAAGTCACTGAAGGTGATAATCAGCTTTAGCAGAAAAATTAAAATAATTTGATATATTCAGATTATAAATSTGCTTGTGAAACAAAGGTTTTGGCTTTTTTTTTTTTTTGCAAGAGTTTTTTTCATTTTTAAAAATCCAACTTCTTTTAGCCATTAAATACATTTTGTTGTGTGTTTGGAGTTTTTAGGAGTGCAGAAAAGTTTAATTTATTCTCTCCTGGGTGGCTTTTTGTTCTGTTTGGGTCATGCTTTTGAACCCGTTCAGTGTTTTCTGCTTTCTATGATGTTTTCTGAAMTATTATGTCACAGCATTTGTGACAGAACTACCAAATAGGGTTGAGACTCACCA